TAAAATATTAGCATTTAGACCATTCACACTGAATGTAATTATTTATATACTGTATTAATATCTACCATGTTTGTTATTGTTCCTTATTCCTTGCATTTGCTTTGTTTCCTTTTCCTTCTCTTTTTCTGCCTTGTCTGGTTTTAAGTTAGCATTTTGTATGATCCCATCTTGTCTCTTCTATTAACATATCAGTTGTACTTCTTTTCAAATGTTTTTAGTGGTTGCCTAGAGATTTCAGTATACACTTTATACCATTTCATCTGTAGCACAGATACCTTGTAACGGAGTATTCCCAATTCCTTCTTCCCATCCCTTACGGTATTACTGTCATTCATTGCACTCATCTGTACCTTGTAATCATCATTTGTTCCAATCAGAGAATGTCCTTGGGCTGCTGCTGGACTGCCATCTTGGGTTTCTTTTTAATGTTTCTGGGATTAGATCCACTGGTTTCTAATTTTCACATCTTCCTCAATATTGGATTACTTGCCTCTTTTTCTGAATCCAACACATTGAATTTTTTTAAAGATTTATTTCTTTATTTTAAAGAGAGAGAGTGAGTGTGGGGAGGCAGAGGGAGAAGGAGAAAGAGAATCTCAAGCAGTCTTCATACCCATCACGGAGCCCAAAGCAGGACTCTGTCTCATGACCCCGAGATCATGACCTGAGGCAAAATGAAGAGTCAGACACTTAACTGACTGAGCCACCCAGGCACCCCCCCATTAAATGTTTTTAAGAGTGGGTGTGTGTTGCTCAGTATCAGACATCTATTTATTAGATGAATAAATAAACTAGAACCATACTAGGTGACTTAGTTTTAAAACTTTTTATATACATAAAGGAAATAAAGAAAATTGTAGGAAAAACACTCAAGATGGATGTTTGTAAAGTAAAATTTCTGAGCCTTACATATCTGAAGTTGTCTTGATTAGCATTGAGTATTGAAGAGCTGGCTTTACAGTCTCTGTTACTGATGAGATGTCACTCTCAAGTTATTCTTGCCATCATTCCTCCATAGTTGACTAGTTTCTTGATTCTTACTGGGAGTTTTAAGTTTTTCTCTTTGTTTTTTAGGTGTTGTTATTTCATAACGAGGTGCTTTGGTTTATGTCTTTTTAAATTCATTTCTCTAAGTACCCTTTAAAAAAAAATTCATGTCCCTCTACTCCGTGGTATCTTTTTAAGTAATTCTCTTAACACATTCCTCCTCTGCAATTTCCTTGCACAGCTTTCTAGACTCCAATTAGGTGGCTATCAGACAACCTAAATTTATCTTAATGCTCTTATAGTTTCTTTCAAATTTACTTTTTTTTCCTTTTAATCTCTTACTTTTCTGGGAAACTTCTTCAACTTTATTTTACAACGATTTTAGTAAATTTTAGTAAATTTCCAAAAATCAATATAAAAATTATGTAAGACCATAATCACTTTCTTTCTTTGTATCCTAGGGTACAGTGTGTATTCTCAAATATCTCTAAAAAATATTAGAGGTTTTGAAAGTTTCTCACTTCCTACAATATCTCTGTTTCTCCTAGGATAACTTTTTTTCCTTTTTGTATGTTGTTCTTTCCGATATTTGAGAATTTTCTCAAAACTCTGCTGACTTGTGGTTATCTGTTCCTACTTGAGAGAAGGCTCTGGAAATCAACTGATGTGATTCACTAAATTAAAGAATAAAGAAGGAAAATCATATAAATATCTCAGCAAATGCACTTGATAATATTCAACATCTGTCCATGAGAAAACTCTCAGCAAACTAGGAATAGACAGTAACTTCCTCAGTCTCATTAAAAATACACACACACACACACACACACACAATGTATACAGCAAACATCATACTTAATGGTGATACTAAGTGCTCTTTTTCTAAGATTGGAAACAAGACAAGAATGTCCACTCTCACTACTTTTCTTCAACATTGTCTCTAAACTCCTAACCAGTACAATAAAAAAGAAAAAGAAACAATTGTTGGAAAAAGAAAAGGAGTTTTGCTTGCTGGTGACATGATTATTTATTTTCTATAAAATCCAAAAGAAATCTACAAATACATTACTGGAATACAAGAATTTAGTAAGATTATAAATACATGGTTAATATTTTCAAAAACCAGTTTTATTCCCATCCAATTATAACAAGCAATTTAAAAAACAATACCATTTAAGGCAATACCAGCTTAAAAAACAACACCGTTTCTAGTTAGGAACAAGTTTAATGAAAGATGTGTATGACTTCTTTTTTTTTATTCAATTTAGTTAACACATAGTGTATTATTAGTATTAGGGGTAGAATTTAGTGATTCATCAATTGCATATAACATCCAGTGCTCATTACATCAAGTGCCCTCCTGAATGTCCATCACCCAATTACCCCATCCCCCCACTGACCTTCCCTCCAGCAACCCTCAGTTTGTTCCCTATAGTTAAAGAGTCTCCTATGGTTTGCCTCCCTCTCTGTTTTTATCTTAGTTTATTTTTCCTTCCTTCCCCTATGTTCATCGTTTTGTTTCTTAAATTCCCCAGTCTAGATGTGTATGACTTCTTTACTGAAAACACTTCTAGAAGGAAAACTAAATAAATGGAGAGCTATACAATGTTAACAGATTGGAGCTCAATATTGTTAAGATATCAGTTGTAACCAATTTATCTGAAGGTTCAATGCAAACTGTTTAAAAATCCAAAAGGCTTTTCTTGTAGAAAGTGACAAATAGATTTTAAGAGACATATGGTATACCAAAAGACCTAGAAAAGCCAAGACAATTTTTCCCTGACTTCAAGACTTTCTATAAACTATAGTGTGCAAGCCAATTTGCTATTGGCATAAGGATAGACAAATAGATCAGTGGTACAGAATAGAAAATCCAGAAATAGACCCATGCTTACATTACAAATTGCTTTTTGAATATTTTCATTAACTTGTGGTAGGCAAAGATTTCTTAGTACATTAAAGTTATTATTAAAGTATAAACCACAGAAGAAAAGAATTGATGGATTTGGCTTCCTCAAAATTAAAAATTTCTCCTCATCAAAACACATGCTTAAGCAAACCACAGACTGGAAGAAAATGTTTGTGATACACAGATTAAACAAAAACACTTCTTTCCATAATATAAAACAAACTGCTACACATCAATAAGTAGTAAAAGACAACCAAACAATATAAATGGGTCAAAAACTTGAACAGACACTTTACAAAAGATGCATGAATTGCCAATAAGCATATGAAAACATGCTCAATATCATTAGTTGTTAAAGGAATGCAAATTAAAACTATATGAGATCCCACATCATACTCATGCGAATTGCTAAAATTAGAAAAACTATCTCTAATAGACTTTGAAAAACAGTTTGGCAGATTCTAAAGTGGCTAAACATACTCAGGCAATGATCCACTCCTAATTACCCAAGAGAAATGAAAACATCATGCCATAAAAAGACATCTACAAGAACAGCGGGTTTATTCATACAAGTCCCAAACTGGAATCAATCTAAATGTCCATCACAGGAAAATGAATAAGCAGATTGTGGTAGGTCCACACAATGGAATACCTTCCACTACAAAAAGGAACAAACTTCCATTCATCCAACAGCATGGATGATGAGCAAATGTCAGGCACAAAGCATACATGATGTATTATTCCGCATATGTGAAACCCAGTAAGAGGCAAAATTCACACATGGTGACAGAAAGGTCAGCAATGTTTGCCTTTGAGAGGCCGCCTGGCTCTAGGTGATCAGCTTGTAGGGTGAGGGGTTAGAGGTGCACTGTTCTGTTCTCCATTGTAAAAATAACATATAAGTTTTCAGCACCATGTCTCACTTGTGATCTCTACTGCCTCTTCAGGGTTCTTCAGGGCATACCAGTTGTTTTTCTGACCTCTGGAAGCATCCTCCACCTACAACAGCAATTAGCACTCTTCTGACCACTTTTGTCATATAGATTTTGGTTGAAATCTCTCTTGTGCTCATTGCCCCGCCATTCTCTTTGTCACTGTGAATCCAATTTCTTTATTATCGTTTTAGCAGGACTTTCAATAAAAGAGAGGACAAATGTTTCTTTTCAATCTGCAATCTTTGACCTGGAACATTTCTTTTGCAGGAATTTGACACAATAATTTGACGTTATTATTCCCTGAGGCATACTAAGTACTGGGAAGTAGCAATAATTCTCTTCTGGTTTGACAAAGAAAGCTTCTAAGTCTTCATAATACAAGATGTTGATTGAAACATTATTATCAGAGCAATAAAATGATCAACTAAAAATTGGAATTAGAGACTCAGGTTTAAAATTACTTTCACAGGAAACATCAGTGATTTCTGAAATTCAGATGCCTGAAATATTCACTATATATAACAATAACACAGACAGATTTATATTAACACAAAGTAGGACCAGATGTCCCAGGAAAAATGTTTGATATTCTTGTGAAATTATCAATTTATACTGTTTCATGTCACTATTAACCACATCTTATCCTTTATAAATTAATTTTATAATGTAGGATGGCATTTCTCTTAACAGCTATAGGGGGAGAGCTGGTTTTAGCTTTCTGATATTTTTTTTTTCTCTTAGTTGTTAAGTATTTTCAAGGTTAGACTTTTATCCCATTGCTTTCCTTTTTCCAAAATTGTTTTATTGGAGTATAGTTTATTCCATTGCTTTTCATTCTTCTGTTCACTCCATCTCAATTTTGTTTGAATTAAAATTTTTTTAATTATAAAAATACTTCAGATATGTGAAGGTATCTTTACAATGGCTTTGATCCAGACAGACTGGAATAGACTTTCTCAGTCCCACATTTAAGCCTTTCTTAACCTCCGTGCTTTCTTCAGCATATCTTTGCTTATTACTTCAATTCCATTTTTTCTGTCTCTGCTCAGCACTATGTACTTTATATATGTTAGTTTTTCCCAGCTTATTCTTCATATATAAATCTTACAGCCTCCATAAGCATCTTGGAATCTGGACGACCATTTTCACATGGTATCCTTCCTTCCTAGGGCATCCACAGAAGACCAGAACATTGATGACAGACTTATCTATGAGACTCTATTCAAACACTTCAAAAGACACAAGGTGGAGATTTCAAATGCAATAAAAAAGCCATTTCCTTTCTTTGAGTGCCTCCGGGACCGTGAACTCATCACCAATAAAATGTATGATGTAAGTGATGTTTTTTCTGTCAGGATCTGGTAAACTGGCCCCAAATGAAGTTATATTTTGATATCCTGGACCCAAACATCAAGCACAACTAACCGATTGAGGAGTCTCCTATGAGTGGGGACTTTTTCAAATATTATTGCAAGTGTTCCTGTAAGGTAAAAAGGAAAAGGAGAATCAGTTGTCACCAGGGACTATCCTGCTTCTCTCTGAAGGAATGGTGCTCTGTGCTGCCCCCTGGAGTTGGGCTGAATAGCCTATCAAGTGAGCTGAATCTGAAGCAGGAGTGCTCTATAGATGTATATAATGCTTTGTAGGAATGTGTAGAATATAACATAAACTGAGAATTAAAGGTAATTTTAATGAATTGATGTATAACTTATATGAGTTAATTTAATAAAATAACAATTAACACATATCATTTTTTAAAAATTTTATTATGTTATGTTAGTCACCATACAATACATCATTAGTTTTTGATGTGATCCACGATCCATTGTTTTCGTTTAACACCCAGTGCTCCATGCAGTACGTGCCTTCCATAATACCCGTCACCGGGCTAACCAATCCCCCCTCCCCCCCTCCCCTCTAAAACTCTGTTTGTTTCTCAGAGTCCATAGTCTCTCATGGTTCATCTCTCAACACATATCATTTCAATGGACATCAGTTTGAGTGCTTAGATCTGAGAACATTAAAACCTACAGGGAACTGATGTCCTGTTAGGACAAAATTTGGGAATTGATTATTATTATTCTTTTGCTAGCAGTTTTCAGTTTTTAGGGTTTTTTCTTTTTCTCTGTCTTTTTTTATGGTATTTCTGGACTTTTGGAATTTGGGTTTGATTTTAGCAATAGGCATTGCTGGAGATACAGAGATTCAAGTCTTCTCTTTGCCGGATGAATATGCTTTCTCTATGGCCAGATTCATAAAAGAGGAGAACTGTCACCTGGTTTCCTTGAGTTCTTCCAGGCCAAGTCAGTCCTGGGGAAAGGGTAAGGTCGTCCATGCAACAGGACAGCTGCTCATCACCGCTTAGTCTATTCCTAAAATATCTGACCAGGTTCTTAAAGGGCTACATATCATTTAACTTTGAACACACTGTTGTTCTTCAAAATTGCACTTACTTACATCTAATATAAATGAAGGTGAGGAAATCTGTTTCACAAGTGATTATTTTTAAGGAGGAAGGATTTACTTGTTTCACTTAGTATCTATACAAATAAATAGAAATTCTAAAACTTTATATGAGAAGATACCTATGGAAGGAAATTGGAAGACATTACCCATAAAATCACTTTCTAGGGCTCTTCTGTAACTTGGAAGTCTGTATTTATATTCTCTCCATTCAATATTTTTTAAGGATTGTCAAGATTCTTGTAGAAACCTGGTCCCTGTACAAAAAGTGGTGTATAATGTTCTCAAGGAACTGGAGAAGACATTTGACTTGCCACTTATGGAAGCATTGTTCAGCGAGGTCAACGTGCAAGAATACCCTGATTTAAATCATATTTATAAGAGCTTCGAATATGGTAATTAGGTTTATTATCTACCTTTTGATATCCAGGGCCAACTTTTTTTTTTTTTTTTTTTGCACAAGTATATGTTGAGCTCCTACAATGTTTCACACACAGTGCTGGGGCAGTGGGGATATAACAATAGAGAAAACACTAATCATGAACGTTCTCAAAGCTTATGGTATAATGGCTATGGTACAACACTCACCTAGAGTAGAGGTCTTCTTAACTAGGCATTTAGACTCATAGGACAACCAGAGCCAAAGTGCCATCAGATTTACTTAGAAGGACAAATGACAGGAAACACAGCATCCCAACTGGGCAGCATCAGTTGCTCCTCTTCTGTGGGATTCCTTGTGGAGACCCACACAGCAGTCCACCAAGTTGACTACTACCCACCTCAAGTGTCAGCTTGGCTGTGGATGTAGGATCCACCCTGGCTTAGCGGCACCATGCCCATGGGTATCAAGAGGTCACATAACAGTGCTGTAGTCGTAACGTTCAGGGACCCTACAAGGGACAAGCCAAGTCATAAGATTCACCACTTTGAAGGAAGACCAAAGTGCGCTTTGTAGTCTGTCGATAGTCCCTCCCCATCCACATGCAATTTACCAGTCATTTTTGACCCTAAACTAGGGCTAAGCTAGGTTTTAACTAGGCCAATGTTGGCTTTAGTAGAAGAAAAACCATCTTCATCAGGTTTCCAGAGTAATGAGCCAGAAAGTTAACCCAAGGTCACATTTACCCTTAAAGAAGGAGAATTGGTTTTGTTAACTCTTTCTCCACAAGGGGTGAAACAAACATTATTCAAATAATCACAAAACCAGTGCTCTGCCAGGTGTTATACAAAACTAAAGGTTTGATTCTCAACTTTTTCCTGGGAAGGCATGATTTTTATTTTCTTTTTAAAATAACTTTATTTTAGTTTATTTTAAGGCCTGCAAGAGTTTAAGAGAATGCTCTTAATATATATACACTTTTTTTTTTTTGACTTGCCTAGGAAACTTTTTATTCCAACACAGTTTGGTGTCAGTGGAGTTCTCCAGATAAGGGATAGAGACATCATAAGAAGAATGTTCCCGTGCCCTGAAGAGGGTTAGCACTATGGGATCAGGCATGGAGTGTGAAAGGACCTAGTGTGTCTTCAAAGACAAATTCAGTTTCTCTCAGAGAGTGAGAAGCAGACTGTGGAGCTGATTCATGACAGATAAATTTGAAGAAAATTTTAGGAAGTCTACGATATAAAGCTAAGCAATTGGAATTTTATTAATAGGCAATAAAGAGATATCAACAGTTTTTATAAACCAGAAAAAATTAAAAAGCAGGTATAAAGCATGTGGTTTGTCGACTTGTGTCAATAGTAACCTTATCTAATTAAGAACAAAATAATGTCTATAGCAAGTCAGTCCAGTTGGAAATCGAATAAAGGCAATTAAGATAAGATTATATTTGTAACCAGGATGTCCCGGGCCATGGGAACAGAGGGAATGGCGGTTACCTGTCCTGCCCACACCTCAGGCGCTCTGATTCTCTCCATGGACTGCAGTGACCCCCCCCCTTCCAGGTTCAGTGTCCACATCACCTGTGTTAGGTTCTGGGGCTCCCCGAGCTGGGGTGACCTGCACCTACACTCATGGCCGCCCACCTGCCCCTGGGGATATAGCAGCTGTTGCCTCCCAGACACTGTTGTCCATGGGAGCTGTGGGTCAGTGACCCAAAGCCAAGAATCTGGGGGCTGTGGTCTGGGGTGCACACTCTCTCCTGCTGCTCGGTCCCTACCTTCATCCCATGCTCAGAGCCCCCTGAGCCCCCATGGGACCACCTACACACACAGGCCCCCTTCACCTTTCCCTTTGTTCTCCTTGTATCCTCCACCTGGTTTTGCCACAGTCTGAGGCCAGGTCTGGGATGACAAAGCACACCTGGCTCCCACTGTCCCATGCAACTCACCCCTGCGGGCCCAGCCCCAGGAGGAGCTCCCTCCATGGGCCCTGGAGCAGCAGATTCCCTACCTCCGTGGTGTCCCCTCCTCCCTGGACTCCCCACAGACACCACCTCCCCACCCCTCCAGGCTTCATGGTTTATTTCCTTCTTCCCGTGTGTGCTGGGTCACCTACCGGCAGGAGCGCTGGGCTGGTGTCCCTCCCTCCCCTGATTGGGGGCCTCCCCACCCCTGGGGCAGGCCTGTGGGGTGGTCCTCCAGCACAGCTATCTGTGCTCCCTGCTCAGAGCTGCAGAGTGTCCCTTTGTCCCTGGCATCTGGCCCCTGGGAGGTCTGTCTTGTTCCTCCAGGTGTCCTCTGCTTTGTCTCTTTGAGAAGCACTCACCTTCCCTGCCCCAAACCTCCTCTGGTCTAGCAGCATCTCTAGAGCAGATGGGCTTTCTCTTTCATACCCATGGATCTCTCTGTGAGCCTAGCTCTTCTCTGGAGGTAATCCCTATTTCTTTCTTTCAGTTTGAATGGTTCAGAAACACATTTCACATCTATTATTTACTTTGATATATGCTTTTCCTGGCCATCCACAAATTCTTCTACAAGAGTAACGGGATCATGATGTTTCCTTTATCCTTACATTGGAGTGGCTCCTTTCTGTGTGGGAAACATAGACTCTCTTGCTGGAAGTTCTCTTTTCTATCCCAGGGATGATGGGGGAGCTTTACAAGAAGGATCAGAGGCACTGAGCTCGAGTGACCTGAGGGATGGGAGTTGCTAACTGTGTAATTTTGAGATGTTGTGTCTGGTCTCTGATGGGATCCCTAATTGTTTCCTTCCGTCTCCCTCTCCTTAGCAATCCAAGAGAAAATTAATTACCAAGAAAGTGATGAAGAAGAGGTGGACAAGAGTCCTAATATCCGACTGAGGCTTGGGCAAGGTGATTGCAACCCGATAAACACTGATTCACATCTACAAAGAAGAAAAGGAGAAAGGGAACTCAGGCCCGAGTCCTGGGTGTATTTGGGGAATCAGGGAAGAAATGTTAAGGACCAAGGAAAAGGCAGGGAGGGGTGTTTGCATCAAGGTCTAAGCAGAGCCCAAATCCTGGAGGAGTAGCTATGACAAGAGACTATTGGCCCAATAACCAAGGCAAAGGGAAAGAAACTCAGTGTGTCAATAAACCAGATTTAAACAGATTAACTGCCAGGAAGTAATTGTGATTTAGAAAAGTCCCGGTAGGAGAAGATTAGTGTGAAACTCTTAAGGGCTAAGAACCTGGGCCCATGGCCAACATCAAATGATGGAGGAAGGACTGATTTAAATGTGGAGATGTTTTTCAAGAGCCCAGATATTTAAGGAGAAAGCCAGTCACATAGAGAGAGAAAAGAGGAAGTGGTAGAAAGATGGAGGGGAGGAAGTGGGTACTTTGAGAAAGAGAAGGAGGGAAATGAAAAAGAAGAAAGGATTAAAAGACCCAATAGAAATAGCTGTGTTATTAATATCTCACTGGTTGAACATTTGTGCAGGTAGTTGTAGGTTTAGTGCTCAGGCTGCCATTGGAGATTAGCACTGTTTTTATGCCCATTTTGCAGATAAGGAAACTGAAATCTGGAAACAGTGTGTGTGTAGTTGGCCTGGGGTCAGATGAGCAAGGGTGAACCCAGGCATTCTGAACCCAGAGCCTGTGTGTGTGTGTGTGTGTGTGTGTGTGTGTGTGTGTGTGTGTGCGCGCGCGCGCGCGCGTGTGTTAATGGAAGTAAAAATTCACATAACATAAAATTAACCATTTTAAAGTGTACAGTTAATGATATCTGGTCCATTCACAATGTTGTGCAACCACTACCTCTGTCTAGTTCCAGAACATTCCAATCACCTCAGAAGGAAGCTCCATTTCACTCCCTGTGCCCCTCTTGCCAAGCCTCTGGCAAACAGTAATCTAGTTTCTGTCTCTTTGGATTTACCTATTCCAGACATTTCATGTAAAATGAATCATATAAACACTCCCTTCATGTCTGGCTTCTTTCACACAGCACAGTATTTTCAAGGTTCATCTATTTTGTCACATGAATCAGTTCCTTATTCCTTTTTGTTAGTGGAGAGCATTCCCTTGTATGGATATATTTATTACATGTTGCTTATTCATTCATCAGTTAGTGATGGGTTGTTTCTACCTTTTGGCTGTGACAGAGGCTGCATTCTTAACCCTGTACTGCCACTCCGGGAATCTAATGGAAAAGACAGAAGCATGAGACAAAAATTGGGAAATATATGCAGAGAAAGATACAGAAAAAAGAATACCAAGAATGGGAGGACATAGAGGAGAATCGCACATGGAATCCTCAAGGAAAGGCCAATGAGACAGACTGAACAGATGTGTAGAGGGAGGGTGTAGAGGAAGAGGAGGTGGGGACGAGTCAGCAGGACTTTGTAGGAACTAAGTAAGTCCACTGGTCAGGGGCAGCTCTGGGGACAAAGGCAGCTTCACTATGGCCATGGGAGTCAGGATAAGCCATCACCAGTTAACTCAAGTACCTTGTGTGGGACATGCAGTGAGATGGCCTGGCCAAGGTCCTCTTAGCCAGGATTGCAGCTGACCCCAGTCCTCCACTCTGCCAGTTGGGGTTTGACTGCAAGTGTTGTGTGGGATCTACCAAGTCCACATGGTCTCTGTATGGTTACCTGGAGGGGATCTTCAACTCTTGCTTTATAAAAAGGGAACTAGGGGAGAATGGCACAGACCATACTTTAATTTTTGAAATGAACTTTCAATTTCTTCCCCTAGGAACTGGTGAAAACTCATATCGAAGCCTGACCTGGTCATGCCCAGGGTCCTCATCTTACCATGGTCTGTTCCTGTTGAATGTATTCTGATCCTTTGTGTTCTTGTCCCATTCTGGAATGTGCTGGGAGGTGGAGGGCTGCTTTTTTGTATCACTGATTGCCCAGAATCTCTGTCTTTACTAATGCAATTTCTGTAAGGAAGTTCTGGGGTGTTTGCCCTGGGATTCATTCCTTACCTTCCCCTGTTCTGCTCTGCCCTCTATCTCTGGCCACTGGCCTCTGTGGACCTACTTGCTAGCTCCCTTTGTTGCTGGCTTCCTGCTGGGTTCCTGACATGGGACCCTAACAAGAGATCGGAGAGTGGGAAAAAGGGAGAAGCTGGATATTTCCCCATCACTGCCTTTGTCCACAATTCTGAGTGTGGCTGCATCTCATCCATGATACCACTTCCCACCAAGCAGGCCAGCCATAGGCCAACTTCTATCCACCCAGTGACCCTGACCTCTGGGCCCACCCTCAGTCCCTCCCACAGTTTCCTGTTAAGTAATTTTCCGGTTACTGCATTCTTCTATTTGGACTTCTCAACTCTTCCATCAACTGCATAACCAACCTCCTGGATGAAATTCCCTGTGCTGTAAAAGCTTAGAGTGATTTGTATTTTCCTGTTGTACCCTGATTGATGCAAAGGGCAAATAAAATATCTATGAATTAAAACATGGTTTAGGTACAACCCCACCTGAAAATAGACTCTTGGAGAACCTCTGTGAACCAGAACAGATAAATGCAAACAGAACAGATACAACCAGTGACAAAAATGATGCACTAGAAATCCAACAAGCAAATGAGGAGTGTGCCCAAGAATCTGAGCCAGCAGGTAAGACTGACTGGGTTTGCATGAGTTTAGAGGGGCTAAGGGGTCCTTGTTGGTGGCAGAGAATGGAGTCGTGCCCAACTCAAGGAAACATCTATTAACAAAGAAGGGGAAACTCATGCAGATACAGAGAAGGCAGGAATGGAGCTTGATATATTGATGGGAGAGACCTAGAGGAAGAAAAGTTAGGAAGTGCTAGCTTCCACAAGCCTACTTATTTTTTACTGGATTTAAAGCTGGTATTGGGTGAGATCAGAAATTGCCAACTTCTGCAATTTTCCTGCTGATAAAAATGATAGATAAGCTAATTTGTACTGTTTAACTGAAAGAGCAATATTTGCCTACATGTAATGGAAAATATATAAAATATTTTTCATTTTCTCAATGTTGGAATACCTCTTATTGACAGAAAAGTTGCAGTGCCAGGGGCTGAAAATGGATTTTGACTTTAAGATCTTCAAAAGCTGCTAAGAAAATTAAATGAGTACACAGACAAATAAAATACAAAACAAAATAAGAAATATGGCTATGAGAGACATGGATACACGCTATAGAAATTTAAAGAAAAAAAAGATGGTTTCTGGCTAAGGGGCAAGGCAGAGAAAATCAGGACATGCTTATAGTAGTATCAGTTTGCTACGGCCTCAGCAAATGGGAAGAAACTGGATATTAAGTTTGAAGATACCCAAATTTGAACAAAAAAGAAAAAGAAAACTTCACAGTATACATTCAAGTGCAGGGGCCCAGGGCAGACCACCCTAAAATGTGCCATTTAAGCATAAAGATTATTTTGAGTTAAAATAAAAACCCAACAGATACAGGAAAGGTGCTCTGCCTCCCCCATAACTGCCTTAATATATACTGGAAAGGAGAGCCTATATCAGGAAGCGAAGTATTAATAGAGACTTCCCTTTACCTAAGAAGGAACTTATCTGTATAATAGAACCATGTTATATGTTTTTCCAAACATCTCCTTTGACCTTCTTGCTAATGACTTTTCTCCCCTCTGTATCCTCAGGCCCCTATCCCTCTCCTAAGCTCATATAAGCTTCATGTTTCCTCATTGTGTTTGGAATTCCATGTCTGTATGGATTCTCTGTATGTATGCATATTAAATTTCATTTTCTTTTGTTAAAAAAAAAAGAAAAAGAAAAGTTAGGAAGGACAAACAAAGAGACAAAGGGTAAAAAGTTGCAGTGCCTCATCAGGGAAGAGAGACAGAAAGAAAAGTCAAAAGAAGTCAAGGAGAGCTTGATCACAGAGTTACTGAAGCACCAACACTTTCATGGGGTGAAGGTTAAGGTGGCAGTATATGCAGACAAGCTATAAGTAGAAACATGAGAAGAAAAGAGAAGTCGGGTGATAGGCAAATAGGCAGAACAAGGAGGGCTCTGCTGGGTCTCAGCTGTGGTCTTTTTTAATCCTCAGAGTCCTGTGAACAAGCACCCATCCAAGTGAATAATGGAGACACAAAAGAAGTCACACCCAGCCCTTTGCCCTGTGATGGAGAAAGTAATTATTACTTATCTTACCAATTTTCTAATTCTATCTTTGTTCTTCTATGAGAGTAAAAGCTTTCCTTTGTTCTCTGATACTAACCACCTCCCTGACCCTAACAACACCCAAGACCCACAGCCTTGTGCACAGACTATGGCTGCTTCTAAGTCATGTGAGATGCAAGGGGGAAAGAGAGATGAGCTCTTTGATGAAGGGCATGTCCCCAAGGAAAGAATGCAAGGAGAGAAAATATTTAAAAAGTGAACCAAAGAACACCAAATGACAAAGTACATGAACAACATGGGTTTTAGGTAAATTGACATGGAATCCAAACAGTACCATTTTGTGGAGTTGGTGAAAAGAAATAAGTTGCAGCTTGCTTTTCAGAAATTGTAACAGAACCATGGAAACCATGCGTGATGCTGCTGGTCAGATTTGCAAGTACGGAAGCTCTGGTGAAGGACTTTTAGAAAAGAAGTGACAACTGGAGGGACTTGGAGTGGGGGGCAGTGGCACAAGAGGAGAACTTTGGTGATGATTGGAATGCTTGAGATGAGAAAAATGGATAGAAAGACAAAAATCAATACAGAAGAGGCATACAGAAAGTCATATTAATAGTTAAGAGACAGAAATCAAGTAGGAGAAAGTAAGAAACATAACAGAGAACTGATAAACTGAAAAATCAATTAGGGGACAGCAGGGCCAGTTCTAGGGTGAGGCAGGGAGGTCCTGGGACACATGGAAAGAAAATATTACTCATGGTATCTTCTTGTCCCTTGGCACCTCTTCTGATTCACCCTAGACCCTGCTGGGTCCTGGGAGATGGTGATAAAGGATGTTGAGAAAAAGAGTATGAAGAGAGAAATATCCAGAAGAAAATGAATACCAGTAAATAGAAAAATGGGAATAGGTCTAAAGAGAATGAGCAGAGGATGAGTTAAGGGACCATGAATGAAAAACTGGTAGAGAGTGGACCAAATAAAGAGAGAAGATAAATGAAAACATTGTCCAATTTGAAGAGACGGTCACGAGAAAGAAGGCACAGAGGGCTCTTCCTAATACCATTGAGAAGACATCATTAAGGTGTCTATACTGACCAAAATGGCCCTTTCACTCCCTCAGATAAAAATAGGCCTCCACCCAGGCATCTCATGTCTTCATGGCTTCAATCACCATCTGTGACCTATGGATTCCTACACACACCTCTGGTCCAGACCTGTCTTCTAGATTCATTCCTTCAAGTGCCTGAAGACTTGTAATCAAAGATCTGAAAACCATCTCTATTTGGAAGCTATATTAGTTATCTATTGCTGTGTAACAAACAGTCCTCAAATTCAGTGAATTAAAACAACCATTACTTTATTTGCCACTTCTGTGAATTCCAACTTTAAAATATGTTCAACCTGCCCATTTCTCTCCATTTCCAGGATGCTTACTCTAATCCAGATTCCTATCACTTCTCACTTCAAAATAGAAGAACTCTCCTGCTGGCCTCATCCTTCCTATCTTGTTCCCCTCAGATCCATTCTCCACACTTTGGCTCAATGGGCATTGCAAAAATGCCAACCGGTTCATGTGGCTTTCCTATTTAAACCTAGTACCCTCTTGTGATCCTCAGCATGAGGTCAACACAGCTTGGTGTGGAGTATTGAAGGATACCTCCCATACAGTTGTATAATCTCCCCCTCATACACTCTTCCACCACATTCCCACCATACCAAATTCTGTTTGTTTACTTGAATTGTCAAGCTCTCTCAGTTATATCTCTGCCTTTATACATGCTTTTGGAAAACAGTTTGGTATACAGTCCCAAAGTTGAAAATACACATAGTTTGTGATGCAGAAATTATATTCCTCAGCCAAAACCAACAGAAAACACTATGTTCAAAAAAAGAAAAGAAACACATAGAAGAGCAGCATTATTCATAATAGCCAAAATCTTGAGAGAGCACAAATGGATTTTTTATGGTTTTATTTTTCATGGGTTATTTCTACAATGGAATACTATACAGCAGTTAAAAAGGAAAATGAATACAGCTGATTCTCACAAATATAATGTTGAGAAAGGAAGCCAAATTTTGCCCCCACCCCCACCCCTGCCAGATGACAGAGAGACGGAGAAAGAGCAAACAAGAAAGAGAGGACATGATTCCATTTATACAAACATGTATATTTTGGAACTGGCAAAACTGACATTCAGTGGTATTAAAAATCAGGATGAGCAGGTTGTTAACTTGAGTTACATGGTGGAGACAGTTAGGAGGAGGCATCACTAAGAGGCTTCCAGGGTATAAGTAATCTATTTCTTGACCACAGTGACCGTTTCCCAGATATGCTTACTTTGTGATGATTCAAAACTTATGATTTACCCATCTTTATCTATGCACATTATACTGAAAATATAATTTTTATTTTTAAAAGAGTAAAAAGTGGGGCTCCTGGATGACTCAGTCAGTTAAGCACCGGACTCTTGGTTTTGGCTCAGGAACATGAGATAGAGCCCCACGTTGGCTCCATGCTCAGTGCAGAGTTTGCCTGAGATTCTCTCTTCCTCTGCCCCCACTAAAATAAATAAATAAATCTTTAAAAACAAAAGAGCAAAAAATAATTCACCAAAGGATGAGAGGAGAAAATAAAAACAAACAAACAAAACCCCCCAAAATCCAGAGTCCAGAGAGGCACAAAGGAAGGGACACAGTTAAGCAGCAGGAAAGAAGAGGGGTGGGGGCAGAGCTTCACCCCTGCAGTGCATTTACAGGGAGAAGGACTTACCAATAGTAGTGAACGGTGTTTACTCCCTTTGGGGGAGGCCAGTGAAAATTCTTTATTCATTACAATTTAATCCAGGAGCAGAGCTACCCAACCATGGAATCCAAGTCAATTCCTGTTCTGTATTGCTGGTGGATATAAAGAAGGAAAAGCCATTTTTTAACTCAAGAGTTGAACAGCAAGCCCAAGCAGGGACTAACTGTAACCAGGCATCTGACATAATAGGTAAGGCTGACTGAAAGAGTGTGTAACGTTCCAGGCAAGGGGCTGGGACATGTCATCAGGGTCCATCGAGGCAGTCCAGTTGGCCTTGGATGGAGGCAAGAGGGGAGGAACCAGTATCATATGCAGTGAGCTCAGCAGGAGAAAGTCCCAGTAATCAGAAAAATACCAAAAGATGGAAATGGTAGATTTAAGTATTAATGTATGGGAGACTATTTCTAAAGCAAAAGAAGAAAGTATGAGGGTAGAAGTTGAAGAAAAGCAAAAGAACATCAGAGAGCCAACATATTCATGACAGGGGATGAAGAAGGAAACACATGAAGACAAAGAGAGGTATTGAGAGAAACCACTGCCAGAAAGAGAGGCATAAGTAGGGGAAATGGGCAAAGCCAAGAGGAGAGTGAAGTAAACTGAGAATAAAAGATAAGAGGGAGCCTGAGGTTGGCTGGGGGGGGAGGGGGGTAGGAGGTCACATGAGGGCAGAGGTAGGAGGTCACGTGAGGGTGGGAGAAGAGTGTTGGCAGGGTGGGCAAAGCTGCCCTCTGTGCATGAATTCCATCACCTTTAGTTTAGGACTGGAGCAACCTGCAGGTCACACACATTCAAGCACAGACCTGAGTGCTGTGAGTTAACTTAGCTTCTAGGTCTTCCTAGTGGTCCTATTGCAGAGTCGCCTGCTATGTGGACTCATTGGCCCCACCCTGAAGCTAAAGGGCTTTGCTCCTCTGTGCAGTGATCAGCAGTGACTCCGAGGAATCCAATGATGAAGACGAGCCCCCAGAAGCCTCCACGTCAGCACTGGAAAGCGGGCCTGGTGAGGAAGTGGGAAATCAGGCTTTGGCTACACGAATCTGAATTAAGAACTACTGTTCGATGCATCTTATTCTGTGCCTATTCTGTATGATAGATTCAGTTTATCCTGGAATTCTATTCTCTGCATTTATTTTACTTGACCTTTTTGGGAAATGCAGGAAGATAAAAAATCATTAATATATATACTTCTTAAAGATGAGGTCTATTAATTGATAGGTCAAATTTATCAATATAAGCACCCATATATTGATTATATAGCAGAAAGGGGCTGCCAAAATGATGAATTTGTTTTTAAAACTAGTTAGTTTCTATGCTTACATGGTGTTGGATTTATAGTGATTTCTCTTTTTTTTCTTTAAATTTTTTATTGTTATGTTAATCACCATCCATTACGGATTTATAGTGATTTCTATGGGGAACAGAAAGCTAAATATTCTTTTATTCGAAGGTCATATTGTCATCTGAGCACAAACTGAATTGTGTCAAAAGACAACTCATCCAGCTATCCAGTTTTAGCAGAAAAAAAGATTCAGATAGAGTACTCTGAAACCCAAAGTATTGTTTTTGGGAGTTCTTCAGCAAGTCATGCATATATAATGATTTTTCCAAGGACTTTTGCAAATAATACCTTACTTTTTAATTTATAACAATCTTAAGTACCCCAGACATTGTTATCCTTGTTTTCTAGAGAAAACACAATCACATCAATGTTTCAAGGTCTTCTACAAAGTCTCATGGAGAATTAAAGGGACAGACGAGACTAGCATCCTGGATTCTGCATTTTGGCTTTATAAAATTAGAGCTAAAGATGGTTCCCAAAATGTTATGTTTCCTCAATTTCATGGGTTGCATGAGTGGTCCTAAGATTTGCAGCTGTTTTGTGCACACATTGGTGACTTGTTTTCCCTTTCTGCATTCTAGACCCAGAGGGTATTAGAAACATGCCTATTTGGGGAAATATACTTGGAAAAGACCTAAAAACAAATAAAAATATTACCTGGTCCTGATGTTACCAAAGAACATGATTTTAAATGATACGTCATTCTTATTGCTCACTAGATCCATCAAAGTAAAATGTAAACTAGCTTCAAGTTTTAAAGGGTACACATTTTAACTTTTGTCTTAGTGTAGCAAACTGCTCTAAAAGGCAGTCCCAAAATATGTCTAGGATGCAGACACAAGAGATTATTTCTCAGCCTTGCAAACGCACTGGGTTGGAGGGGAAGTAGAAGAGGCTTGCGGTTGTCAACACAAGATTTCCAAGATTTCCTCCCTTCCAAGGTGAGAAACAGCAGAGAGGAAGGAAATGTGAAGTGACAATAGAAGGGGTAGGAAGTAGAAGAGAGAGAGTATGGGAAGGTAAGGCTCAGACAGAGCAAAGTTGCCCCTTGCCTATGGGGACAGGAAATGGAGTGTGACTACCATTCAAGGCAGGTGGCTTAGAAGGACAGACCAGGGTGGCACTGTTGCAGACCACAATTTGCATGGGTTTTCTTGATTTTCTTACGAGGATATTTCCCGCTAATATTTCATTTTCTTGGTCACACGCTGAGACCCCTAAAAAGTCCTCTTCCTTTGTGCAGTGACCAATAACCTTGACTTATTAGAATCAAGTGAGAAAGGAGAGTCCCAAGAAGCCACCTGCTCAAGACTTCAGATTACACTAGGTAAGAACATTAGGATTGCAACCCTGGATGACAAATACTCAGAGTCTAAATCCAGAGCTGTTTTCCTGATGAATCTTGTTTTAGATGCTCTATGTGCCTTGATTCTATTACTTCTAAGGACTGTTTTCTGCATTTAATTTCTCTGGCCCTGTTGGGAAGTGGAAGGAGGCAGGAAGTCATTAGAAATTGTTATTTAACTGTACAGGCCCATTTGATTGATATATAGAAAATGTAGCAAAAATATGCTGGTAAAATGACAAACTTTTTTCTACACACTATCATGTATTAATGCTAGAGAGTTGAAATAATGTACTTATTCTCTGCCAATATGCTTTATATTCTATCCAATAGAGTAAGCACGATGTACCTCTGTTTGTTGACAATATTGTCATTACTCCCAAACTTAGAAAACCTTCAAAGAATAATTTGTGCTGCTATTTAATTATTGATGGGAAAATGACCTCTGATCAGCTATTCACAAACCCAACTTACTTAAACCATTGGCTTACACTGTAATTTTTTAAAAGGCTTTTGTAAATAAAGCTTCATTTTGTTTTCATAAAAAATCTTAACAGGGAGATAGGGTAACTAGGTTATCCCAGCTTTATAGATAAGGCAACTGTGGCTAGTCATGTTGAAGAATCATTTACAAATTTACATGGAGAGTGAAAAGGAGAGCCAAGCAGGAACCCAGCATTATACCCCAGGCCACCCAGAACTGGATTCAGTTGAAGGAAAGAGAGAAAAATGATCATCAAAGTATTATCATGATTGCAAGCCCATTGAATTGTCACAGAATTTGCAAGATTATTGCATACAAATAATTGTTTCTTCCCTTTTACTTTATAGACTCCATGGATTTCAGAAAATCACCTACATTCAGAGAAAGAGTTTGGAAAGTAGGTAAGGGCAAGTAAAAACTCTTCGTGGTTACAAATGAACAGCGTTTTCTACAAAAGATTCATTCTAATTCTTTGCTATATCCTTCAGAGTAAAATATAAATTTGTTTTAAGATGGTTTGTATTTTAACTTTTGTATTAGGCTAATGGTTGTAACAAGCAAATCCAAAGAAGTCAAGCATTCAAACACAATAGAATTAAATTTTTTTCTCAAGTAAACATTCCAAGGAATTTTAGATGGGGGACGTGTGGGACACTGTTTCATGTGTGGTTCAGGGAAGCAGCCAAGTGGGAAATCTACCTTCTTCAATACCAGACTCCCAAGATGTCCTGGGGATATTCTTGCTGTGGGCTTTTTAACCTCTTGGTTCCCTTTGTCATACACTGAAACTTTTAAGGGACACTTGCTTCTTCTGCAGTGAAAAGATTTGATGACTATTCAGAGTCCAGTGAGGAAGAGGAGCCCCTGAGAGCTTCGAGCTCAGCACTGAGAAGTGATCCTGATGAGGAGGGTAAGGACTGCCATCACTGGGCTCCCGGACACGAGGAATCTGAGTTGAGAGTTCTTGTTTCCTGGGCATTTAACTCCAAGCACACTCCACAGCCTGGGATCCCATTCTCTGCATTTATCACATCTGGCCATTTTGAAAAATGCAAAGAGAGAAATCATTATAAATTCAGGTTTAGCAAGATGGTGCTAGTTGAATGGCAGTGCCATTTTTACTACATGCTCTCAGATTTATTAACCCCAAAGTATGAATTACATAGTGATTTCCACCCCACCCACTCCCATTTTCTAGAGAGCAGAGAAAATGGGTATTTGCCGTTGCTTGATTTTGTTGCAAACTTGTTAAAAAATCAGAAGATTCTGATCATAGACTCTGATTATTGAAGAAAGAAAAGCTTCTAGTTATTACCATCAAATTCAATTTATAGCTTTTGACAGATGACCCCAATATGACATTGGCCTATATAATGATATTTGAAAATATCTTCACTAATAAGATATCTTTTTATGTTTATAACAACTTTAAAGATAGGCCAGATAACTGTTGCTCTCTCCACTCCACAGGTGGGGAAACTCTAGCACATAAATATTTAAGGATATTTTACACATCTTATATGGAAATTTACTAGAAGAAGCAAAACAGCCTGGACTCCCAGCAAACATCCATAGTCTTTTATTCAAAACCTTTGAAGGGCGCCTGGGTGGTTCAGTTGTTAAGCGTCTGCCTTCGGCTCAGGTCATGATCCCAGGGTCCTGGGATCGAGCCCGGCATCAGGCTCCCTGCTCTGCGGGAAGCCTGCTTCTCCCTCTCTCACTCCCCCTGCTTGTGTTCCTGCTCTTGCTATCTCTCTCTGTCAAATAAATAAAAATAAAATCTTTAAAAAACAAAAAACCTTTGAAGCCAGACATAAAATAGTAATCTGTTAGACAATATGGTTTATATCCTATATATTACCAAAAAAAAAAAAAAATCCAATAGGGTCTGGGAAAGAATCACATTCTCAAATATACTATATTAATGTTCCTGCAACAAATAGTGTGAATTCACACCAAGTGTGAGAAATAAAGGTTTTACATGGACTCATGACAGCTCAAGTCCAGATTCACCACTGAAGTGGTTAACTGAAAACCTATGGGAAAAATATGGATTTTCAAAACTTCTTTGATTTTGCAGTTGGGGCCAAAGGATTGTGGTTCTCTGCTCCATTTAGTAGTGATCTTTTTCCTTTAGATGGGAAGAGACAGAAATGATCATCATAGTGTCTTTCTAGTCCAAATCCTGTCTACAATATGAGTAGTCATAAGATTTACAACTCTTAGTTGTAGATTACTGGTTGCATTTTCCTTTACTTTTTAGATCCTGCGGATATTGGAGACAAACCTATTTGGGGGATGAGCAAGAGGAAAAGATGTAAGGGCAATTAAAACTCTTGATGTAACAAATATCTTTCTTTACTACAAAAACTTCATTCAAAAATTTTTGTTATATCCTCTAAGATAAAAAAAATTAATTTGTTGGCAGTTTAATTGATTCACATTATACATTTTGAATTAGGTGGGCTGGGCTAATTGATACAACATGTAGGCCTCAAAAAGTTGAATGGCACAAGTGCAATATAAGTATATTCTTCATTTGCTTAAATAGGATAAAGTAACTCCTGGAGTGGAGGGGTGTTCTGCTTTGTATGATTGTTGAGGGCCCCAGCTGATAGAGGCCCTGACATCTTGAAAACGTTGCTTCCACAGACTCCCTGGATAAACAAAGGAACTGGAAGAAGAAGTATGTTCAGACAAGTGGAGAGGGTAAGACATGGTGACAAAAGGTAGTGCCTTCCATGACAAAGTTGTCCCACAACCCAGCCCTGGGAGTGGTTCCTGGAGCAACCCTGACCAATAGGTCAGAAGGAGCCACACAGTAGCCTGGTGGTAGGAATATTCCTGCTCCTCCTACATGAGCTTTCTTTTCCAATTTTCCTTTTAAAGAATTTGATGCTGGATTGGTTGCTAGGACACAGATTGAGACTGCTAAAGAATTTTATTTCTTTCTGCAGGGATCAGCAGTGGTAACTTTTCAGAATTAAGTCATACAGAAGAACCTCAGGAATCTTCTGGCTCAGTCCTAAGAAGTGGGTCAGGTAAAGAAGATTAGGATGCCAAGCCTTGGCCTGCAGAATGTCAGGAATTAAAAGCTACTGTTTCCTGATGCATTTTATTCTGAGCACCTTGAAGACCTGTATCCAGTTAATCCTGGGAACTCCTTTTCATCATTTTAGAAAATAGGAGACAGGAAATTATTATAAATTCATGTTTAACAGGATGAGTCCTATTGAAAAAATGTATGTAATTATATACTGCTGTTGTGGAAGAAATGAATAGCAAATGGTGGTATCTTTTTAATACCTACTGTCATGCCTACTAAGATCTTAGATTTCTATAGTGATATATTGATTGACATTAATGTCATTTGTAATTGTAAAAGCCTCAAAAGACGACTGGTCCTGCTATGTAATTATAGACAGAAATAAAAGCTTCAGATCAACAACTTACAAACTTTAGTATAGTTTTTGACAGATGTCCATCACACTGTAATTTGATTATATTGTGTTACTTTAAAGTACTTTGGCAAATAAGATCTTACTTTGTCATCACAATATCCTCAAGACTTAGGCAGGCTAATTTTTGTTATGCCCATTTTGGGATGAGGAAATAGACATATGACCAAATTGTCCAATTTGACCAAAGGTCAAAAAGTATGACTATTGTATGTAACAGGCAGGAATAAAAAAGCTGTATCCAGTGATCGAAGTCCAAAAAGGAGATACAAGGGACCTGATATATAGTATCAGCAGAACGTATCAGTGCCTGATGCAAGAAAACTTATTTAACAACTATATAAATGATGATGATGATGATAGATGATAGATAGATAGATAGATAGATAGATAGATAGATAGATAGATAGATAGTAGATAGACATATAGATGATAGATAGATAGATGATAGATAATAGATAAAAATGAAAATCATAAAGAAAAACAAGATGGTAGGAGTGGTGTCAGCTATAAGGAATACAAAATACCTAGAAGGGCAGAACCAAACAGGATGAATAGAGAAATAAAAAGGCACAGAAATTAAGAATATCACTGATGAAAAGAGAGAAAACAACACAGAGGACAAGAGAAATCAGGGAAATCAGGGAGAGAAGCTCACAGAATCAAGTGATGGAGATAGAAATGTGTAAGGCCAGGAAATGGCCAGAAAACTGAGAAATAAGGAGGAGAATGAGGTAGGGCCAGATAGAAAAGGTGACAGAACACATCTTTGTTGGATATAAGGTGTAGTAATTGGAGTGGGTGTTTTCTCAGCTTATCTGAACAGTAAATATAAATGAGCTTAACCACATCAAAGTGGTCACTCTCTATAGTCTGTCATTTCCTTATTTCCCTTCAGTGTCCTCCTGTGAATTCAAAGCTCTTCAGATAAATAGAGGAAGAGAGTCAGAAGAGATGCCAACCTATAAGCATCTGATGGAGAAGCCAGTTATGATATTAACTATCTTTGTTTTCCTGTCTACAAAGAGGGAAAGCTCTTCTTTCTTTACCTTACCTCTTCCCCAAAAACATAGCATGTACATGCACACACACTCCTATACATAGGCTTGTGCACAGATTTGGACTGCTTTCAACAGATTTGAGGGAGCCAAAAGAGAAAGAAGAGCTGTGTTCCTGAATGGAGGGAGGTGACACTGAATGGATAATGTAAGGAAGAAGAATGGAAAAGATAGGCTGGGGTCTCCAAATGGAAAGACATCTGACTGAGTATACTCCAAGTTTTTTCAAGTGGACGTGGAACCCAAATATCACCAGATTGGGGAGTTTTGTGGGGGAAGAGTGATGATTTTCAAGATACCTCTCAGGAGTTGTACCAGAAACATGGTAATAAAGTCCATGACTGACTGAGTCTTGCAATGTAGAAAAGCCCATAGGGAACTGGCAAAAATAAAAGTGGTCAACAGCGTGGTCAGTGTCAAAAGAGTAGGTATTTGGTCATGAATGACAGTAGAAGTCTGTGATGTGAAGCTGAATATAGATAAAATATAAATACAAAGATTGTAATTATAAAAACAGCCAAAAAATCAAGATAAGATTAAGAGAAACAGACTAGAAGCAAAGAGAAAATGGAAAAGGAAGTGACATTAGAAAGAGGATTACCTCAATAATAAAACTAGATGCAGGGATAGAAGCATAGGAAAATAGATGGAATGAGGTACATATATAGGGTAACAAATGGAGAGGAGAAAGAGGAGGCACACAGAGAACCATATAGAAAAAGAGTTAAAAGATGAGCGAAAAATGACAGAGTGTAAAAGGAAGAGAGGCGAGATGGAGAAATTGTGGGATCTGAAATGGTCAGGAGACAAAGGCAATGTTGGTGCAAGGGATTGGTTCACAGTGGGCAGTGAGTTTTCAGGGCAAGGTGTCCCCAGGTATCAGTGTCCCCTATAACTCACCCAGATTACAAGGGACGTCTCCCAGGCATCTCATCCACTCCTATGGTTTCAATCACTATCCACAACTTAATAGTTCCTAAGCAGACATATCCAGCCCAGCCCTGTCCTCTAAGCAGATAAGCTCATCCAACCAAATGGCAGAATGATCTCTGTCCAAGGTTCTGAATGTCCTAGCCTTCACCACTTTAGGTGTCTTCCAAAACCTTCAAACCTTCGACACTTCCAAAAATGAGCACATCATCTTCCTAAAACCAACATCTGCTCCTCCAGTGTTCCCTGTTTCTAAAACACACTATTAATTGTCCCATCCTTTCAAGTTGAAATTCACAGAGTCACCCATGACACCATTGTCTCCTCAATTGATACACCACATCTATCACCTAACTCTTATCAATTCTTCCTTTTAAATCTCCAACCTGTCCCTTCATCTCCATTCCCAGTACTGACACTCTAATCCACATCTATATCACTTGTCACTTGAACTAGATCTACAAGGTCCTGTTCTCCTTCTAATCTTCTTCCCACCAAATGTAGTCTCAGTGATTTAGCTAAATTGATCTTTCAAAACTGCATCCCATGTTCTTTAACTTCCTTTAGGATTAAGTCAATTCTCCTTCATGTGGCCTCCAAAGCCACTTACCTCAGGGCTCTTGCCTCTTTCTCCATCCTCATCAATGTTCCTTATTCTTTCACTTCATTCTCAAATATATTTAACTCTTTGTGGTTACTTGCTTTTGCTGAATCTAGACTTTTGTACATGCTTCTTCATATTTCAATATATTCAGTCATTTGTTTCTGTGTCAGTTCTCTGGTTGCTCATAAGATTGACAAGCACCAATGCTTCAATAGTCTGGTGTCTGAATTATTATTAGCACCCATCTCAGCACCTGGCACCTGAAAGAGGCTTAGGAAACTTCTTGAGTGCGTGAAAAATAGTGTTCACTTCCTATATTCAAATATTTATAGTATTTATACAGAATATTTATAAAATCTATTTTAATAATTGAATTCTATATATACATATATATAAATAAATAATATTTCTAGAAAGAATAATATCACATAAAATAAATATAAGAGTATGCTTAAAATGTAAAAGGATGGATGGGAAAAGCATATAAAGAAAAAGTAGAAGAACAAAAATACAGATTTGGGGCAAAGAGAAAAGGATAAAAGAGAAAAAATAGATTGAAAGGAAGGGACAAAGACAATGGGGATCAAACAAAGAAAGAGATTTCTGAGGTAGAGACATCCTTTAGTGGAGGGGTGGGGGAAGGGAGGATCATTGGAAGAGAGGAGATGCAAATGAAAACTCTTTACAAATCATAATTTAGGAGCAGAGCCACAAGGACTTGGAAATGAAAAGTGTTCCTGTGTCATGTGTTTTTCAGAAGGTATTTCAAGAGGCCAAGGAGCAAGGACTGAGAGTAGCCAAGCATCTGACATGATGGGTAAGGCTGCCGGAGGGTCTTGGGGTGGAGGTGGTTCTTCGGATACCACAGACCCTGGGCATGTAGTTGATCAGAGTTCAAGGACATCAGACAGCTCACCAACGGAATGGCCAGTTATGGAAGTGGAGGGTCACATGGCCTTAGGCTGCAGGATGTCAGGAGTCTGTTTTGTTGCCTGCTGCACTTGACTCTGAGCACACTTTGATAAGGAAGAGGTACATCCATGCCAGAGTCCCATTCTCCGCATTTGCTTGACCTGAGCCTTTTGGGAATGGCAGGGAGGCAAGAGATTCTTTTAAAGTTAAATGTTAAATAGGGTGGACCTTGTGGATTTACAGGGATGATCTAGTAGAAATACACTGGTAAAAATGGCAGTATCTCATTTACTATATTAGTGAGCCAATACTAAACTATGGGATTTATATAATGACATCCACCCTTGTCCATAGAACGAAGAAATCCAAATGTCCTTCAGCTGGTAGATAATAGTGTCACTTTGTCACAATTTTGGAAAAGCCTCAAAAGACAAATGATCCTGTTATCTGTCAGGAAACAAAGGCCCCAGATAACTATTCTTAAACTCGGCATATAGTTTTGAAGGATACCCTCCAGTATGTTGACTAATACAGTGATTTCTCATTAGCTTTTGTAAATAAGATCTTATTTAATTGTCATAAAAAATTTAAAGCCTGAACAGGATAACAGTTGCTATCCCTCTTTCATGAATGGGGAAACTGATGTCCTTAAGAAATTAAGAGCATTTTCAAAGTCCCAGAGAAATAAAGGAAGACCTTAGATATCAATTCAGTATCTGTCTGTTTCCATTATAAGGAAGGCAGAGAGATGATACTCAGGTCATTATAAACTCAAGCCTTCCACAGTGTGAATTGTCATAAGATTTATAACTTTTATTTATAAATTACAGTTATATGACCACCACCTGTTACTTTCTAGATACCATGGATATTGGAAACAATTCTACTTCGGGAAAACACAATGAGAAAATAAGTAAGAATGAATAAGAATTTGCTTGATTTTTATGTTACAAATGAAGTGTTTTTTAATGCTAAAGTTTATCATCATTTTTTATTCCTTTCATAAGACAAAAAAATGAATGTCTTTTAAAGTAACTTTTTTTCCAAAGTGGTTGTATCTTCATGTCATATTTTATTCTGATTTTAAAATATGTTTCTTATAAGCACTGGTGTATGTCTTCCCAGAATTTTTCTATGCATGCATTAACTCAGTTTGAGATATATTTTTATATATCTTCATATGGTGATTTTATACATACTTTTCCTTTTCTTGCTTTTTAAAATTAATATATCATACCTAAGCAGTAAACACATTTAACATTTTAATTGAACTATAAAAAGTCTTATTTGGTGCTTTCACATGCATTAGTCTTAATTTTTAGGGTGGTTGAGCATTTTTCATTTGTTATTGGTCATTTGTTTTTCCTCTTTATTGAAGTCTTTGTCATAGAGTGCTGTGAAGTTTCCTGTTGTGGTATTTTTCTTTTTCTTACATTGCTGAATGAATATAGAAAAGTTTATCTGATATATACATTAAATCCTCACCATATGTGTTGCTAATATGTTGTCCCATTTGTTTTCCTTTCCTTTTATTTTATTTATTTATTTATTTATTTATTTATTTATTTATTTATTTATTTAAATTTAGGATTATTTATTTATTTTAGAGACAGAGAAAGCATGAGTGGGGACAGGGGCAGAGGGAGAGGGAGGGAGAGAGAGAATCCCAAGCAGACTCCCCGCTGAGCACAGAGCCCTACTGGGGGCTCGATCTTATCACCCTGAGATCATGACCTGAGCAGAAATCAAGAGTCAGATGCTTAACTGACTGAGCCACCCAGGCGCCCCTGTTGCTTTCCTCTAAGGTTTGTTAATGGACTCTTTTGTCCTAAAGACATTATAAATTTTTAGGTAGTCAAATTTTCAGCTTTTCTCTCTCTGGCTCTTGGGTTTCCCATCATTTTTATAACAGCCATTTCTAGCTGAAGATTTAAAAAGATATTGTTCCATATTTGATTCTAGAATCAAATGTTTGAAGTACCTGATTATTTTTAATGTTTACACCTATAATTCCGTGGGGTTTGCCTCTTTGCTTTTATGTGAGGTCGGAATTTCAAAAATATTTCCTACACTACTACCTTGTGATTGGAGCTGCCACTTTAATCACACACCTGTCTATATACTAGATTTTCTTTTGCAATCAAAGAGGCTACAGAAAAGAAGAGAGAGCTCAAAGGTAGCACCATCCTGATGACTCACGGGGGGTTAATTTTAGAATCAACTCAAGAAGATTCCCCCCCCACCTCCTTCCCAAATTCACCGGAATCTCTGATTAGAAATGCACTGGGTGTTATATGTAAGTGATGAGCCACTAAATTCTATACCTGAAACCAGTTTTACCAATATGATAACTAACTAGAATTTAAACAAAAACTTGAAAAAAAAAGAAATGAATTGAAAAATGTGGATTCATTTTGGGAGAACAGAGACTATTACCCACTTATTCACATCTTATTTAATGTTCTTCCAATAAGAATCTTCTTACACTTTTGAAAAAGTCTTAAGTGGTGTACAAATTTGTTTGTTACTATGAATATCTTTTTTTCCCTATTACATAATACCTGGAGTGAATTTAAATGAGACAACGATCTCAAAATCTTTATTTAAATAGGAAATCTGTGGTCATTTTATTACCTACTTGCATGTGAGGAGCTCAGAATGCCAAGGATTTTTTCCTAATTTAATATAAAATCTTATAAGCATTTATACAGTTTAGGGATCCAAATATCAGTTAAAATATGATGGTCAGTATGGAATTGTTGAATCACTATTTTGTACACCTAAAACTGGTGTAACATTGGAATTAAAATAAAATTTAAAAAAATATGATGGCCAGGCCCAGGAATTATCAAGACAGTCAATCAGAATTAAGGCTACTTTGGAACTGTTTTCATGTGAAGTGGTAATAATTTCTAATTTGGGGGAGTATTACAAGACCCATTCGAATTAACTCTTCCAAGGACAAATTTTTATTAACAGAGAAAAGAACAAATTGGTAATGGTTACTAATAGACATATCTCCATATTTTACAAGAGGGTAAGACTTACCTTTTTATGAAATTTCTCAATTTAATGCTTTGTCAAATCATATTCTTTATGTTAGTTTATGGTACAGAATGTTCTTTCTCCTTCCACAGCTATAGGTTGAGGGGGACTTTCCCTCCATCTCTTTCTGTAATTCCTTGTTAGTTTTACATATATAAAGATTTTTATTTATTTATTTGAGAGAGCACGAGAAAGAGCACAAGCTGGGGAGAGGCAGAGGGAGAGGGAGAAGCAGACTCCCCGCTGAGCGGGGATCCTGACTCCAAGCTCCATCCCAAGACCCTGGGATCATGACCTGAGCTGAAGGCAGACGCTTAACCAACTGAGCCACCCAGACACCCATCCTTGTTAGTTATAAAAAACTTACATTTTTCAAATCTGATTTCTGGATTTCATTACACAACCGTATAAGAAATGCAGGCCCATAGAGTTCAGAAACACATAGTTGGCAGAAAATAGAGAAGGGCCTGAAAAGGATTTTACCTAAAAACAGTAAAATAGGTACATAGAGATTTTTTTTCTCCTATAGTTTCCTACTTATTTCTTAAATCTGAATCAGCTTGAGATCCCCTGTGTTTTTTATTTTCAGATTTCCTTTCTTGTCTTCACTTAAATACATAATGTGAATGATTTGTTCAGTGTTTAGGTGATGACGCTTATGATACCTTCTTTGTTTTTATTTATTTATTTTATTGAAGATTTTATTTATTTATTTGAGAGAGAGAGAGAACATAAGTGAGGGGAGGGGCAGAGGGAGAAGCAGACTTCCCGCTGAGCAGGGAGCCCAAGACGGGGTTCCATCCCTGGGATCATGACCTGAGCCAAAGGCAGACACTTAATCCACTGAGCCACCCAGGCACTCCAATGATACCTTTTTTTTTTTTTTTTTTAAGATTTTACTTACTTATTTGACAGAGAGAGGCGCAGCAAGAGAGGGAACACAAGCAGCGTGAGTGGGAGAGAGAGAAGCAGGCTTCCCGAGGAGCAGGGAGCCCGATGCAGGGCTCGATCCCAGGACTCTGGGATCATGACCTAAGCTGAAGGCAGACGCTTAACGACTGAGCCACCCAGGCACCCCCAATGACACCTTTTTTAAAAAAGACTACATCTTAATAATATTATATACACATTATTACTTACAGGCTAAGTATTATTACCAATTCTGTATTTTTTTCTTTTATCTCCAAATACTGACGACCCTTCTTTATCCACATTCCATTTACCAGACCTCATCCTAATGGGTTTCATCATATTTCCTTGTCACTGCTATGTTTACCCACTGCAACCTCCCAACCCTTCCACAACTTCTCTTTCCTTGTAAATCAGACCACATCTATACTGACAACCACCAAAACTCAGTCTCCCTTCAAAGTACTCATTTTAGGTGAAGATGCAGACTTCAAAACTCCCCATGATTACTTACTGGAGTAGCATGAGAAATTTGGCAGAATGGAAGGAAGAGCCAGATTTGAGGGCAATATGAGTGTTCCCCCAAACAGGGGTATAGAAGGCTTCAGTAAATAGGTCAAGATCTTGAAAGACTGAACAAGCTCATGCTCATGCTTAAGACTGGGTAGAACCTTGTTGGCTGCAGATGAAGTCCCCATAGCTCAGCCTGAAGGATATGACAGGACAATCCACAGTGACCCCTACTTCCACAGACTAAGGGGATGAACCCAGAGCTCCCCTTCTTTTTTAAGCTCTAAGTTTAACCCAGAGGCAGAGTCAAGGATCTCGTTTGCAGCATGGCTCACGGTATAATCACAACACTGGTTCCCAGTGACATTTGTGCTTATTGACATAACCCCACAATACAGAAATCTTGGGTGTTAAATGCAAGGTGAGAGGCTCCGTATGTCCCCAAGATAATGAAACAGAGAAGGGCTAATTCTGCAAGGTTAGGCCAGTGTTGTACCCCAAATATTTAGGGTGTTTTCCTTTTTTAGCTGTCCTTGCCCCAGGTCAAATGTACTAGCATCACGGGAATTCCTTCTTCCTGCTACCTGGCAGGTGAGAAAAGACTCTGCATTAGAAATAGTTAAGCCTTTACATATTGATGCATCCAAGAATATGTTGGATGAATAATTTAAATGAATAAATTAATTCTCTTGGTGAAAAATTGAATCCACATATGTAATTGTACAAAATATGTACTTAAAGCAAAAAAAGAAAAACACAATAAAATAAAGGGAGAGACAAAGAAATGTCAGAAAAGTACAAATTACAAGGTTGGTGTGTGGGTTTCTTTTTAGAGAGAGAGAGAGAGAGCTCTCGCGCACGAGTGCATGAGTTGGGGGAGGGGCAGAAAGAGAGAAAGGGAGAGAATCTTAAGCAGGCTCCATGCTGAGCTTGATCTCACAACCCTGAGATCATGACCTGAGCCAAAATCAAGAGTCGGAGGCTTAACTGACTGAGCCACCCAGGTGCCCCTAGTCCTTTTCTTTGAAGATTGGTGATTTTTGGTTGTAGATTCTTTGTTATGGATAGTGATGTTGTAATCAATGTTGTTGGTTAATGAGGGTTCTCTGTAGATCCCATTATGAAGGTGAGGCTACCTCTGGACTGCATGTTCCCAGGAGGACTGTAAAGATTGACCATAGCTGGGTGGACCTCCTGGCCTCACAGGAGAGGCAGGGGGAGGCAGCATGTGTGGAGAGCAGTGATGGAAAGCGAGGCAGACCTCTTCCCAGGAGCCTGGGCCTGAAGGGATCTGAAGTGATCTGTCCCTGACAAGCTGATTTCTCCAGTCAAGAGGATGGAGCTGGTGTGGCTTGTCTGAGGGTGGCCTGCAGTGATCACCAGATCATGGCCTTTCTGACAGGGTTGTTGGCTACCTCTTACCTACTAACACCTGGCAGACTTTGGCAT